AAAAAAGAATTTTGCATGTGAAAGCAACAACAAAGTTAGCTAGCATGGATAGACGATAGCGAGTTTGGTTGTGCCTCATTGAGTTCGTTCGTTTCGCCACTCGCTAACTGTTGGCGAATCGAAGACGGCTGTAATACAAGATTGCGCATTCCTAGCGACGATGAAATTTCTAAAGTAAAAATAAACAAAGCCGAATGTAGTGTGGCCAGAGCGCTGATTTAGTCAGTACATGTGCTGATTTTTAAGAGCCCGAAATCAGTACGCAAAATCTACTGATTTTTTGAGCTTGTACTGATTTTTACATTTAATAAATACTTTTGTAAATTGGTGTAATTGACATTTACTTGAGGTTTACATGTTCAAAACGTGTGAGCAGATTGAAAACATTAATTAAATTTAAACCATTATTAAAAAGGTGTCAGCTTGCAACTGTTTCGTTTCCTAGGATTTCGCAAAATAACAACCTTTTTGGATTCAACCCAACCCAACTTCACGATTTGCAGGTTTTAAAGGATTTACAGGAAAAGCTGGTTTCGCCATTAATAAATCTTATGAAAGGTGTTGGTGAGCTAATCATATATTGAGTACACTGAGAAGATGACCATAAGAGATAATCTTTTGATTATAATTAAACATCCACTGAGAAATCGGCTGTCAGTGTTTCAAACTTAAGACAACTACTGCTATGGTGCAATGTAAGTTCTAAAAATTTGGAAAAGGTGCAAACTACCGACTCTTGGATACGATATATGTAGCTTTACTTAGATTTTTGATGTTCGACTACCTGTAATTTTACTTGCACATACACATTTACCACTATTAAGTTTCATTCCTACTCGAAAATTCGTTTAGCGATATTTCGGTAATATACCTTTTAGTCAACATTTTAATGTGAATGTTGTATTTAATAAGCACACCATCTAAATATGTTTTAAATTTGTAGCTTAAAATATGCAAACATATTCTGACTCGAGCTCGTCTTCTACTGAAACTGAATGGGCTACAATTTTTTTTTAAATTTTTTAAATTTTTATAAATATTATAGAAAGTTTGAGACTTCAACTCACATATCTTTTGTTATAGAATTAACTATATTTTTATAAAAAAATTAAATTATTTAAGGAAAGAAAAAATTTTCACAACCTGTCAATACATTTTACTACTATTTTCGTGAGCACAGCTGTACATACATACGTAATACCTTTGATTTGTTTTAAAGTAATGAATTTTTATATTGATAATACTATATGTATTTAAAAGTCTATTTGTTATTATTTGTTAAATTAATGCGCTGTTATTTGGTTGTGATATTGGCGCTTCAAAATTAACTGAATTTATGGCTTTGTACTGATTTTTGATCCCAACTGTACTGATTATGTCACTATAATATCTGGCCACCCTAGCTGAATGGGAGAATAAAATAAACTGGTAAATAGTAAATTTTCTCAGTAATCAATTTTTCGACAGGAAACGTTGTTTTATTGTGTAGAATTGCAAAATATATGATTTATATACAGAATTAATAGCGAAAATGTTTAAAAACGGAGATTTTTATAATTCTAGCAAATTTAAGTGCATGTAAAGTTTCTAAAGCGTTGATTACTTTGACTTGAGATTTTTAAAAATCGGCAAATCCCAGTTAGCTGTTTCTGGAGCGTGCCACAGTTGTTCGCTACTTCGTGATGTGTTAAAAAAAAAGCTGACAGCACTCCGCAAGGTTGCAGAAATCTCTTAAAATATGTACGAAAAATATCTTAATATGGGGAACTGCTTTTCACTGTCAAGGAAAAAAATTGCCAAAACTCAATGCAATTTTTAGCAACTTCAATCTTGCACTTTATTATTAGTTTGCCATTTAGGTGAAACTTTGCAAATTTTTTTTAATTTTTGTACAAAAGTTTGATCCAAACCAAGAGATCTACCATATTTTTTTCAAGATTCTACCACACAGAATTTTTTTGAAGTCCGATCACTGATCACAACATGATCGATTTGGTTTCTCGTTTTTCGATCCGGAGACAGCCACGTTGCTTGATGGATCTTTTTATGCTTTAACCTAGTACTTCATACTACCATGTTTCGAGTCCCGGCGAAGTCGAACAGCCTCAATCCGTTGTCGGACGTTTCGTCGTGGAGGCGGAATTTTCCGACGGCGGTTCCAAAGATCCCTTCTTTGCCCACCCTGGCATTGAAGTCGCCAAGCTCGATTTTGGTATCGTGGCGGGGGCAGCGCTCGTACGTGCGCTCCAAGCGCTCATAGAAGAGATCTCTGGATACCTCAGGATGTTGAAGAATCTCGCTTTGACGCGGATTGTGGCTAGACGCTCGTCCACCGGGGTGAAGGACAGTACTCATCCGAAACATTGTTTCGCTAGTTCACTGGAAGGGCTTTTTACGTGGCGGGTCCCAAACCCAGCGCACAACCCATTGCTGAAACGGGGGTGGTTTCGCAACCAAATACACGTTTATATAGCGAGCCGCTTGCTCCAAGCTGACACCCGCTTGCAGCCGCACCCACAGGTGAACAGACGCTGCAGACTTCAGTGAGCCCTTAAAGCGAATAAGTCGGAGTGGCCCCACCGAAGCTCCCTCTCTTTATACCGTGACCCAAGGCTTCACTCGGATTGGTTACCACATCTTGCACATGGGTTGCTCACGTTGCCCAGAGTACGCAAACGAGGACGCAAGAGTCGCGATTGAGTATAGCCATGCAACTGTAACTGCATACCCAGCGCAACGACTATACGCCATTGCACTCCAATTGTTTATTTTGACATTTTTTAGTACTATAGATTTTTTATTTATCCTACATTGCATTTTCTGGCACTTTCTGGGGGTGAACCTATAAAATATAGTTACTATGAAAAAATGGTTAAATAAATAAATGGGTATTACTATCGGGAATCTCATGAAGGGAACAGAGTTTTCCGATCGAAAAATATTGAGGTTGTTCACAATTGCCTGGTTATCAGGTTATCCGGTTAAAAATTATAATTGTGTAGTGTATTTTATTGTTGTAAACTGAATAAAAAACATAACCACATAACTATACATAACCTGATAACCAGGCAAGCGTGAACAACCTCATTGATTTGCAAGAATTATATACCATCTCTACGAAAAGTTGGGTTTTTCCCCCAATAAAGTACATGGATAACTTTGAGCGCTTTGAGCGACCTCTAAATATTTTTTGATTTCAAAATAAAAATGTAGGGGTATATTTTTTCGGCATAGAACAATACTAGGTGTGAGAGCATAAAAATTCCGACTTTACATTTTCTCATGCATTTTTGGACCACTCTACTGTACATACGTATATTGCTTCCTGTTTACCAAACTAAACCATAATGCCCCAGTTTTATATTTAAACCAAATAAATGATTAAGAATAAATAAAAATTTGCACTTAACTGTTCAAATAGTAAATGTGAATCCGCTTAGTTCTACATCAAACAGTTTGCAGTGAGCGAAAGTGTTAATTCCTTGGAAAGTTGTTGCTCAACCGAAACCTAATAGACTGCAGTCGTTATGACATCAAGAAGAAGCTAGTTATTTTGTTGTATCCACCAAAATTACTAAGAATGTATCTAAGTATGTACATATTTACTTATGTACATATGTAGTATGTATATTCATGGGCGTAGCCAGGTAGGGGCAGGGGGGTGCTCGAGCCACCCCCCCTAACTTTCAAATTTTCCTTATATATATATAAAATAGTACCCTGAAATGCCAGCTTGTAGGGTCTTTTGCAAAGTTCCATAAGATCGATGGTTTATAATTTCCTGTTCCAAAATTTTCAGTGAAGATGCGCTTTAGAAAAAGCAAATTAATGATGCCAAAAAAAACAACGATTTATAAAAGATGTAAACTACGGCCTTTTTACATTTCATTAACGATTTGCCGGCGAGAAAGAAGGCAGGTGGCGATTGACAATTCTTAATTTTTTACTCGTTTACTTACCGTAAAACTTATGTTTGCTTGCTAATATTTAGGCTCATGGGCCGCAAACGATTAAACTGTTAGTGCTCGTTGTTTTAGTGCACGGTCAAATTTGGATAGAACAATACATGCATTGTTTCTGACCCAGACCGAAAAATCAGTTGGATAGTGGGAATATTTGTATAAATGGGCATTGGCGGTCATCGATCAGTATCAGTTGAGTTGTAAGCTTTTGTGGATTAGCAGGCATAATTGGAATCGCTGGAAAAGAAAGGAACTAAACTGTCTCGTACATATAAATCAAGGGATTACGAAATGAATACACTTATCTGTGCTTTTGTCCTCTTCGCATTTCTGGCCCCCAGCCAGGCGACTTTCGGGAAATTGGCGTTGCTTGCAGGAGGTGGCAGTAGTGGCGCCAGTTACGGTCCTAGCTATGGACCTGGCTATGGTGGTGGTTACGGTGGCAGTTATGGTGGCGGTTACGGTGGTTATGGTGGCGGCTATGGCGGTGGCTATGGTATCACACCCTACTCCAATGGTGGTGAGAACATTGTCAAAGTGATTAAGGTATCTGTGGTGCCCGGTGGCGGTTACAGCAGCGGCTATGGTACTGGCTATGGTGCCGGTTATAATGGTGGTTACGGTTATGGTAGTGGCGGTTATAGCGGTGGTTATGCCAGCGGTGGTGTGGCTTATCCTTCTGTAGCCACCTCGGCGGTTGTTACACCTGTAGTAACGGCTGTCTCAGCTCCAATTGCAGCTCCACTCCCAGCTCCAATGCCCTACGCTGCCACCTATGGCAACGGTTACGGATATGGTGGTGGTGTTGGTCTCGGATATGGTGGTATCATCGGTGGCGGAATTGGTGGAATTAGCGGTGGAGGCATCGGTAGTCTAGGAGCGTTAGGCGGCGGCGGTGGCTGGTGTTGATCACGAAAGTGATGTGTTATTGCTCTCTGGCTTATTACGATGACGAAATTCGATATCTTTTTTTTTAATAAAGCGGGTAATAAAAAATTAAATGTTAAAATAAAAATAAGAAATTTTTCTCATTACAATTGAAGGTTGACTTACTGATGGACAAACTTTTTGCCATATGGATTTTATATGAAAATTGTTATTTTTTGCAAATCTTTATAGCAAAACACAATTTTTTTTATTTCTTTTACAAACATATTTGTTGTGATGACCATTTATGATTTTACCTCATTTCCCGCTAGTTCTGAGCGAGACCGTTACAAAATCTATATGTTGTATACATATTATGATCGTAATGATTTGTTCATTACTCATAAAACTTTTTGAACTCGAAATTTTTCAAGAACGTCCTACTTCAGAATTTGATTGAAGAACGTCCTATTTCGGATTTTTTTTTTAAAAATACCGTATCTCATTCAAATCATATCACATCATTTCATTGAAAATGTGTTGAAATAGGGCGTTTTTTAATCGAATCGGAGTTTATGAGATAGAGTGTTTACAATAAAATTCTGAAAAAGGGCGTCCTTCAATCAAATTCTGAAGTAGGGCGTTTTCGAACTGGCAGCTGAGATAGGTCGATCTTTTACTCAGCCATCGATATACATATTCTTTTTTTAAAACAATAGTTACTGAAAAAGTAAAAATAAATAAAAAGGTTCCAGAAAATTAAATGAAGTTAATATTTTTCTTTTGAAAACGATAAATCTGAAAATGAAAACAGAACTGAATTAAAAACGAAACAAGTAATTTTTAGCAAAAAAAAACCGACTTCAACTCCCATATAAAAAAAATATATATATATATATATCTCATGATCCACTGATCGGATCTCAACCAGATTAGTATGGGACCACCTCTGAGACACTACCTTTCCGATGCAAAAAGAATTATCGAAATCGGTTGACGGGGTCCAAAGTTATGCGGTAACATACATAAAAAAAAAAAAATAATAATATTCCGACGAACTGATAACCTCCTCCTTTTTTGGAAGACGGTTAAAAAATAAATAAAAAACCTTACATGTAAGTTCTTAGAAATTAAATGAAATTAAAAAAATACATATTTTTCTTTTTAAAATAATAAAATCTAAAAATTAAAAGACACTTAAATTTAAAAAAAATCCGCTGCTCGAGGATTTGAACCTCCTCGGATCTCTCGAATGGAATGCCAGTGCTTTGCTCACTCCGCCATTGCGACTGTTGGAGGAGCGCGAGCAAAATGTTATCCTCTCGCTTTTACTTTGTGCGCGCCCATATAAAATCTGGAGATATTTTTGAAGAGTTCCGCCTGCGGGCGCTGTTTTGAACATCAATGATATAGAAGATGCTCAAGAGCTTTCTGTCAAAAGAGCTTTTCGCGATGAAAGTTTGCAAGAGAACTTTTTATCATATCTTGCCTACTTTCTTTCAATTGGCCCATTTTTGTTTTAGGATATAAGGGTAAGGTAAAATTTAACTAAAACAAAAACTTTTACTTAGAAATATTTTCGATGAGTGTTGAATTTTTTATTGGGTGGATTTTATTTTAATGTTGAATTTTGGGTAGAATTCTACCCAATGGTCAAGGAACTGTTAATTAAACACAAAACCCAACGATTACCAAAATTGGAAAATTTTTTAATGGGTAGTAAATAATTAAAACCAGCTGGTGTAAGAATTAACTAAACACATACTTACATATATTACACGTCCCAGGAAGAAATACGATTAGCTAATACAGAAATTAATTTGGATTCCGATAAGCGGCGCGTAGAAAATAGAAATTATAAAACGATCACGGATTTTCCTTTAAACACCTGGTAATAACTAATATAATATTTTACACACTGTACATTAAATTTTACGAATTCCCGTTCCAAGTATCTGCATTGGTAGGAGCACCCAAAAAAGTGAGATTACAATCATTTGCAATTGTCTCGATTTTCAAAAGCAATGGTCTGTAGTTATAGTCAAAATAAAGTCGACTCTAAAGTTAAAAGCAGCTATTTGACATAACTTTCAATGGGATATCTGTGAAAGAAACCTGCTTCTAACTTTAGAGTCGACTTTATTTTGACTATAACTACGAGCCAATAAGTTTAGTATGAAATGCATTACGTTGGCAATAATGAGCTGAGCACATTTTTCACATTTCCCCCCCCCTATCCCGTAAATAACAAGAGCAACACAAGAAAATGTTAATGACAAACTCGTAGGAAATTCAATTTCAACCATTTCTGCAATTTAGCTCAATAATCTCTGAAAATTCCTTACTACCTCAACTTCAAAGCCCAATATCTCAAGAAATATCAATGCTAGCGTTACTTTTTTGTAAGAAATTGAGTTTCCAACAGGTTTGTGATCTACATTTATTCTGTAGCTCTTGTTATTTACGAGGCAGTGGGTTTACTGCCCCGTACTACCACGCTGGTGGGAATCGGGGTTACGACGAAATGGACACCTTTGTAGAGCATTCAATTTTGAAGAAATCCTATCCATCTTCAGAATTTAAAGAAGAAAAAAATCAAATTTACGAGTATTTTAAACGGGAAATCTTTGCACGCCTTGCTCGAGCACTTATTATTAATATCAAGGGCTTTAATTTGTAGGGATTTTTCTTTTATGTATTTCCCACAATACACATACATATATTTTTCTATGAAGGCAAAAGTTCTAATTGGCGACGAAGTTTGATGTTACATAGAACGCTGCTTAGATTGTCATACATACATATCTAAGGACTTAATTAACATCATCAACTTCTTTGTATATGTATGTATGTATATTTCATAAACGACTTGAAAAGTTCCAAATACCCAAATCCTTCATATGAGTTATTATCGTTAAAAATTTGAGTTGAGGCACACTGCCGAAGTTAAATAGATTTTGGTAAGTTGATAAATTTGATTAAAATATCGATATACACATGTTTTTTGTGGTGGGGCTAGGGCCCGGCCCATATTTAGTACCGGGCCCGGATTTTCTCTTGTCGGCCCTGTACACGCAATCTACTGACTTCGTTTTTCTTTTCCGAGATTTTTTTCTTTCCCATCTTACGCCGCTCGTATGCGTAATTCTGGGCATCGCTATTACATTACAACTTAAAGCGAATTAAGATTCTTTCTGGGATTTTCAGCCAAAACCTAAGTCAAGGGGTTATACAAGATCGCATACACTTATATGTACACGCACACCTACATATAAGGTACATTGTACATTGTACATACATACATACATATATGACACATATATGCCAACAAACTATTATACAAGTACCTTACTAAAAAAGTTGAACTAAGTAAGAAAATAACCCAGAATGAAATACTCAGAATCCGCCGAAGTTATGCAGTTGACATGATAATTGTATGCGTAAACAATGATGATAAACATTTAAGCCAGTGGTGGGCAGACTAACATTATTACATACTCCCTTTGTATACGAAGCAGCGCAGTCACGCTGAACAACAATTCCTATGGTTTCATTTGTCATCGTATTTTAGTTCCGCTTTAATAGTAATTTATGAACTACATAGTAAAAGATAGGACACTCGTGAAATATCAATTTATTTATATCAGAAATACCTTTGTAGAGTTAATAGAAACATTATTTTTTAAATTCATCAAACAAATTATCAGCCAAATAATATTAGTAAACTTTATATTTATATGAACTCTTGGTCAGCGTTTTTACCATCAGTTTACGCCTACCGCAGTTTCCAACTTTCAAATGGAAGAAGTCGCACGTCAGAGGATCTTAAGTTTAGAGATATCATCGTAGTGGCACCTTCCCTTCACGCTATCAGAAGCGCGTTTAAAGTCGACGAAAAGGTGGTATGTGCCGATTTCTTTGTCTATGGTCTTTCCAGGACTTAACGCATTGTAGAAATCTGTATAATGGTGGATTGAATAGGTGTGCCAGTTTTGGAGTAACATTGATAATTCATTGCATCAGAAGAATAAACATCCTAGCTTTGAAGCCACACTGATAAGATCCAATCAGTTAATGAAGTGCTTAAATCTTTCGAATGGGATTGTCGTTAGGACCATAGGTGCAATCCTAAGAGGTGGTTGGTGTCAAGTGGGGTACCTTTACAAAGCGGACACGTACACATAACTTGGGTAAGATGGGTTCGATAAGTAGGAGACTAACCTGCTACAATACTCTGACCGTGTTTGCACCCGAGTTACGCGGGTCTCTCGAGACAGCCGAAGCTCTTCGTTTATGATGTGAGGTCATTGAACTCCGATTACAGCATTCACATGGCGAGAGTTAGTAAAGCTGTTGGTTGTTTCTTGTTGAATGTCGTTTATAACACACCAAAAAATGACTATTCCAATCTTCCTTAACAAGGATCATTGAAACTTCTTTATGAGCGTGGTGTTTGGTTTTATCATCAGTATATCGGAGTACGGTATTCCGACAGATCTGAAACTTCGTTTAATGTGCCTTGCTAGTCCCCCGGGGACCAATTTATTGCAGCATAATAGAGAGCCCAGTGGCCAATTGGAATACAGATTGCCATCAAAGTTTATGCGGCTGAGGTTCCACCTTTCCGATAAAATGAACTATCGAAACCGGTTAACGTGGTCCAAAGTTATAAGGTACATACATTAAAACAAATATTCCCACGAATTGATAACCTCCTCCTTTTTTGAAGTCGGTTAAAAGGTAGCGCAGAGCTGAGTCAAATCAAGCGATATAAACAAATTTTAAACATGACGCCCTCCTTGGCTTGAAAGTTTGCACTAATTTTCTCTTTCTTTTCTAGTTATTCTTTCCTTCATCTCGCCTGCCCTTTTTCATTGTTTTAGAGCAGTAAAAAACGTAATTTTTAGGGAGTATGTCCAAGGAAGGAAGGTTTTTCAAGCCGTATTATTTGCAGTCTTCAAGGGCAGGGACAACATCATGGAAAATAGGTGTGAGGCATTGTTACAAGTCTTATGACAGCCCTGAAACTAAATATTTCTAAA